GTTGTATACCCATCTATACATCCATCCATGAATTGTGATACCATAAGGGGAGAGTTTATCATATCCGTCAATATGCCAAGTATAGTTAGGTCCCTTTAAAACTGATAGATTTATGTCAATTAAAATAACATAACCTTGCTTCCATTATTGTCTGCTCTTAAAAAATTTTTTTTGCTGTAGCTAGCACTTCCTCAGCATCCACCTCCTGTAAAATCTTCAAAACAGTATCTCTGCAAAATTATGGTATAGCTATCATGAATAAACAATGATTTTGTACCTTGGAACAATGCAATTATATTTGTCACGTAATAGTTTCCATATAGCTCTGTACCCTTTCAGTTTCTCACTAGTTTCAAGTATTTTATAATTAGGCTTTTAACAACAGTAAGGTTTGTGTCACTTTTGCGTCTCTGAAGTCCAATCCCCCTTAACTTTAGTTTTAGTCAGGACAAACTATTATAAAATATATGGACAACGCAATTACTTGTACTTTGACTATTGCCTTCTCTTTATACCACACTGTACTTCAATTGCTAATTCAAAATATCTTTATTAGCATTCCAAAGATAAAATTGCTCTTTTATAACATCCATATAATTATTATAATTTTCACACTGCTATTCCATGGAATTAATTGGGATCAACTTACCAGTAAATTTAGGCATTTTTACTTAGGAAAAGTTAAATTAATTATGCAGAGTGGGCGTGTCTTTTCATTCTAGTTAATTAATTAAAATGAATTCTCAATTACACCCGGGCGGGTTCCAGACAGATATCTGAGCGGGAAACTTATCCACACTGTCAATGGACCTGTTGACGGGTTGACCCTCTTGGCCACCGTAGGATGGAGATCTGATCTGGGTCTGTATCTGGACTGAGAAGTGAATCATGATGATATGGACGTTGGCGTATATAGGTGTGACTAGGGTGTGGCTTTTAAAAATGGCAGGTGCAGAGAAAGTGTTGTCTGACATTGCTGCTATGTCTGAATCTATTTGTGATAAGGTACACAAGCTGAGGAGTAGAGACAGCAATTCAGATTAGCTTCAGGTACAAAACAGCAATAAAATCAACTATGGCCAATTTTTATCTAACAGACTTAATTGAGAGAGGGAACCCCCTTCAAAAAATGTGAAAGCAAAAGAAGAAAGAGGCTAAAAAGTACAAGAAGGATCAAACAATTTAGGTAATGTTTCCACTACATTGTGAAGAGTATGTCAGAATTCTTTTATTGTTTTTAGATAAATTGTATTCAAATGGAAGAGAGAGCCTCTCATAGTTTTGTTAGAGTATCTCCAGTGTATGAAGTGAATGTTATGAGATCATATTCATACTCTGATCTAAAATATATAGCACATTAGATTTGGATGAAACAGATAAATCCAGACTTTTTACTGCTGGTGGCTCCATTATATCAAGTGAGAGCATTATTATAAGAGATAAAGAATTTTTTAAAAGTCTTGGCTCCTATCTGACCAAAACGCACATATCACCTGATAAATTAAAGCTAGGAGTTGGATATGTGAAGTTAGAGAATAAAGTAACTCCTCCTACTCCTAAGAAAATAAAGACAGAATCAAATGGTAAATTAGAATAACAACTTGAATTTTGCTACGTTATTTTAATGTTAGAATTTACCATACACAAAGCTAATCAAGATTGGGAATATAAAGGTATAACTTTAATTATTAAATCATTACCCATTTCTTTAAGTTTAGTGTTCTACTCAGAACATGATAGTGTAGTTCCTTATAGTCGTAAAGAAGTGTGGGAGAAAATAGGTGACAAGTGTGGTTTTTTAGATAAATTTAGTGTATTTTGGCCTGAAGATGAAGATTTTATTGTTTCAAGAGTTACAAGAATAAGCAAAGGTTCTTCTTACACATAGATGTGCATTACTTGTACTGTCATTTTTTTGTCGAAATTATCCCTCATTCCAGATTCTAGCCGAGTGGATTTATTAAAGTGTTGTGCTTCAAAAGTGAAGCAAGTTTTTGCACAAAGTACATACTGTTTACTCAATTTCCATCAAAATCTTGTTAGGCAAAAATGAATGTTATGCTAGTTATGATCAACCAGTTTTTACTTCACCTCAAAAGCCGGTACCACTTGTTATCAGCAGTGCTCATTCTGATTGTCAGTATGAGTGGAAATGCTTTCAGAAAAAAGACTACTCATATCCTAACTCTCCTGTATTGTATGTGAATGAGCCTTTTCTCTTTAAGTGCTCTGTAAGTATCAAAGGCGACAAGGTGTGTGAAGTCTTATCTTTTAATGTTTCATAAAGTCCAATAAAAGGTTTGACAACTATTTTAGCGCAATTCATTTTATTTATTTTAATAGATTTAACAATTAATTCTGATTCTACTGGGCCTTTATCAGGAGCACCACCCTCATCTGTTCACTATGAGGCTGTGAAAATTCAAATGCCAGTACCTACTTGTAAATTTTATATTTTTAATTGCTCCTACTGAATGTACATATGTATTGGTTTTTTTAGTTAATTCTCCTGATTTCACATCAACAGAATTGTGATGCTACCAATGATTTTGATAAAAGAAATGAATTAGGAAATGGCGGGTTTGGAAATGTTCTCAGAGCACATAACCTCAGGTGTAATGCAGCAGTGAAGGTATTGACAAGGGTAAGTATTGGCTACTTTAAATTTAAAGTATAGCTTAATTAATTGTTAGGATGGCTGTAAAGCATTAAAAGGTGGAGTGACCGAATCTCTTCAAATGAAGTCAGAGTTACAGGCACTTATGAAGTATGAGTAATACTGTCAAATGTTGATTTATGCTATATTAATACTAATAGATTTTGTCATGCCAATAAAAAATGGCTCATTATATGATTGGATTCACAACGTATATAAAGTCTACATTTCTGCTAGTTTTCACTTTCTTTTTTCATTAAACATTTAGAGGTCTATTCAGCCTCTTAGTTGGGATGTTCAATATTCAATTTTAAGAGACATGTTTCGTGGAGTTGCTTTTCTACATGAGGCAATACCTTTAATACATCAAGACATAAAATCGCAAGTTATAATAATGTAGTTATGTTCTAGCCTGACATACTACTTAATGAAAATTTTGTTGCAAAAGTGGGTGATTTTTGTTTTGCTTGTGAGTTACCCAAATCTGATTCTGGCTGTACTATGGTAACTGCTCCACTTCTTGCTTGTACAGAGGGATATTTTCCACCTGAAATTATGAATGGAAAAATGTCCCCACTTTGCGATGTTTATAATTGTGGAGTGGTAAGTTAATAGATTTCTGACTACATACCATGTATTATTTATGTGGTGTAAGTCACATTAGAAACCTACACTGGCCTCAAGGCATTTTGTAAAGAAAGGTGTGATTCTGACTTGGTAACTTATGCCAGCATTATTTTTGTTTAAGTTGTATTGCAGGCAACATTTACTGAAGATGATAGAACAAATGTGAAAAAGTTCTCCATTATTACAGATAAAAGAGCTGCAACTAAAATTGATGTACAAAGCTCTGAAGTGCTGCTAAATGTCTGTAGTAATTGTTTACAACGTCACACTAAAAGACCTTCTGCAAAAGAAGTAAATTAGTAGTAATTTCATAGTAATGCTTTTTTCTTGATATGTAAATGTAGGTCTTCGCAATGATCAAGTAAATCAACGATGTACTAGAATTTAACTGAATCGTCATTTCAGCATTTTTCATTGTATTATAACCATTACCATTTAACCATTATCATTTAACAAATACTGTAAAGTTTTTCATAGTTTTTAGTAGTAATTTGTGACTGATGATCTATTCCATAAAAGTCACGAAGTAATTGCGTACACTTCCATTTAAACCTTTCTGAATAGAACCTAGGAGTCGCCCTCATGCCTGTTACCCAAACATCTGAATTAACACTCAACAGATTGTATATCCTACAAAATCTTAAATTTTGGTGGCACAATAATTGTGAACTTATACCATATGATTCTGGCATGTCATATAAGTTGCTTGGAATCCCAGAAGGTAAACAGCTCCTCATATTTTCCTAACTTTATGACTATTCCACTTATCTTTAAAATGCTCTAATTCTTTAACAATTAGGTGAACTGTACAGTAGGTAAGTACTCTCCTTATAAACAATAAATTCACATATTAAGCTATTGGGTTCACTTATGAAAGGAAGATCCATTAATTTCTCCTCTATCTTTTAAGTCATGGAAAGCTTCAATCCACCAAGATGTTTAAACAATTCAGTTGTGACAACCATCCTTCAATTCTCTATACAATGAAAAAGCAATAGGTAGTCAGCTTTTCACAAAATATTTACATTTCTTTTTTGATGGTCCATAGATATAGCTATGTTCACCCAATTTTGATTCATTTTACAAGTGAAATGCAATATGAAGTTCAGCAACCCAGCTATTTTCAGTTCCATAATCAGATCGTAGTTGCTTTGGTACACCTACATGTACATGTATGCATACAAAAATCTAGCAATGTCATTCAAAATAGTACTCTATACCGGAAACCTCTTCAATGCACTCAAGATAGTATAGAGCAATTACACGTGGGTCGTGGTTGGTTGGTGCAACTTTTAGCCACAGTATTTTGTGTGAAACCTATTGACATGTCAACATCAAAAAATAACGAAAGACAATACCCGTCCATGCATCCATGAATACATATTCCAGAATAACTGAGCTTGTCATATCCATCTATGTGCCATGTAAAGTTTTGGCCCTAGTAATTAGAAACATTTAAAATTACTTAGTAGCAAAATAATTTAGTCACTTGCTTGAATACAATCGCCTCATTAATAATCTT